CCATTATGTAAAAATGTGAGTATGTAACAGAAGTGAGTCTGTATTATGTATTTGGGGAGTTCAAAACCCAATTGAGTCGAATTTATGAAAGATGATATGTCTTGAGCTCTGTAATGTTTTGAACAATCAATAAAAAAAAAAAAAAGCTGGTCCCTACAAGTGGTTAGAGTGCCTATACACACACCAAATGGGCCTTCAACCTAAAGTCCGAATCACCCTGGACCCTCTTCCTCTCTTCACTTCTCACCCCAGGATTCTCAGTATAGTGTACAAGGGAAGTTGATGTTGTCCTCCCTCTGGACCCACCTGGAGTATTTAGTAGTAGAACAATTTTTGATGTTGGGTTCAAAGGGTGAGCAAGTGGCCTATGAAGTCAGTGTCCAGGAGTGTCTGTCTGTCTGTCTGTGGTATAGATTCACCCAAGACAATGATAGCCCAATATTTGGATAACAACTATGGAGTTGGCCATAACAGCTAAGGCTTGGTGCAGGGTGCAGACCGCCCCTATCCAGCCACAATGGTGAACATCCATGTATTAACAGGCAAAGGGAGAGCTCAGCTGCTCTCAGGGGCAGCATATTATTTGAGGAGATTCAGGGACTACCCCTTCAAAGGCACCACAGTTACTTTGAGAGACATTTCTATGACCAGCTAAAAAAAGAAGAGAAGAGACACGGTACTCTCACACGATGAGACTGGAATTTTGTGTCAGGCCAAGGAATGCAAAGAATCCTTTACAAGGACTAGAAACAAGAACAGACAAGGAACAGATTGTCCCTCAGATCCTCCAAAAAGGAACCAGACCTATCAACAATTTGATTTCAGACTTCTAGCTTCCAGAAATGTGGGAGAATGAATTTCTCTTCTTTTCAACTACCCAGTTTGTGACAATTTGTTATAGTAACTCTAGAAACACAGTTGAAGCATCCGTAATCCAAAATCTGAAATTCTACAAAATCTGAAACTTTTTGAATACCAACAAGATGCCACAAGTAGGAAATTCCACATCTGACCTCATGTGTTGGGTCACAGTGAAAATATAGATGCACAAAAAAATCAGCTCAAAATGGATCAAAGGCCTAGGAATTAGAACAGAACTATGCAACTCCTAGAAGAAAAGGTAGGGTCAACACTCCGATATATAGGTACAGGCAATGACTTTCTAAATAGGACCTCTAAAGCTCAGGAAATGATACCAAGAGTTAATAAATGGGATGGCATCAAGTGAAAAAGCTTCTGCAAAGCAAAGGAAACAGGATTGGGAAGAAATACAGAATGGGAAAAAATAATCTCTGTTACCTACTTTTCTGATAGAGGAGTAATATCTAGAATATATAAAGAACTCAAAAAACTTTCAAAATAATCAAGTAATACAATTAATAAGTGGATAAATGAATTAGAAACTTCTCAAAAGAAGAAATACAAATGACCAACAAATAAAAAATGTTAAACAGGGCTGGGGATGTGGCTCAAGTGGTAGCGCACTCACCTAGCATGCATGAGGCACTGGGTTCTATTCTCAGTACCACATAAAAATAAAAAATAAAGATAAATATAAAAAAGTAAAAGTTTAAAAAAAAATGTTAAACATCATTTGCAATTAGGGAAGTGCAAATCAAAAATACATTGAGGGCTGGGGATGTGGCTCAAGCGGTAGCGAGCTCGTCTGGCATGCGTGCGGCCCGGGTTCTATCCTCAGCACCACATACCAACAAAGATGTTGTGTCCGCCGAGAACTAAAAAATAAATATTAAAAAAAAA